CTTGTAACCAGTCCCTCTTAAATAATAAGAAACATTTATAGCCAATATTTTGGAAATGTGGGCATTGTTCTCTGTATTGCTTCCTGTTGCCCGTGGGTGCTAGAATCTTTTGGGGAACCTTTAGAAAATCAGGTTGTTAGGTCTTGACTGGAGTATTCTGTGAGCCTGGATCGTCTCAGCCAGCGCCTTGCAGCTGTTCTGGATACTGGATTATAGGCGGAGCCTGCTTGTTCTTTTCCCCGGTCACCCCGACCCAAAATAATCACATAGAAGCTGTATTAATCACAGTGCTGCTTAGCTTATTAGCTTAGGCTTCATATTAACTAACTCTTACACTTTAAATTAATCCATTTCTATTATTTTATATTTTATCACAAGGCTTGTGTTTTACCTGTAAGGTTCCTAGATGTCTGTCTCCTTTGGAGGTTACGTGGTGTCTCCCTGACTCCACCTTCTTTCCTCCTCTATCTGCTTGGAATTCCCACTTTACCCTATTCTGCCCTGCTGTAGGCCTAAGTAGCTTTATTCATTTGTCAATAAAAGCAACACATATACAGAAGGAGTTCCCACACCATTTCTCCTTCTCTGTCCAAATAATAAGGAAGGTTTTAACTTTAACATAGCAAGATTACATACAACAATACAGTTATCAAGCAAGAATTATAGTTATAATATTTCATTCATTTTTATTTGGCAAATTAAGGAAAATACCTTATCATTTATCCTTTTTGTGAGTCTAAAGTTTTATATCTAATCTATCTTTTATATAACTAAGGAAAAGAGTAACAATAACTATCTGTTCTTCAACTCCATCAAAGATCCCAGAAGGATGTAATATTACCTACGTTAATAGAAAGTACATTGTAAGCAACTTCCTAAAACTCTAGAATTGACAGGCATTTTGCTTCCTGAACAGTCACCCAAAGTTCCTCTGCAGTATTGGAGTGTACAATCTTCAGCCTATAGGCTCATAGTATCTGGTAGACTTTTCCTTGAAACAAGAAATTTGAAGATCTATTCTGCCTTGTACAGGCAAAGTCCATCAGTTGCTTTCTCCTGTGTCCTGCAGAATGTCTAGCAGACTCTTTCATGAAGCAGGAACCCCAAAGAATGGTCTCACCTTTAATCAAGTTAGCAGTCATTTTTCTGTGGGTCCTGCATGTCCAATTCATATAGAATAACATCAAGCAATTCAGGCAAGAGAAGTTTCTTGCCTAAATGGCTAACAAACTTTATAAGGAGCCTCTTTGATACCCATCATCTTCTTGAAGTAGATTGGTGTTGCCAGGAGCAGATGTGTCTCTTTGTCATGAAAAGTCCTGAGTTCTTTAAACATTTTAAATGCCATATTCTGTTGCTCTTTGAAAGGTTTGAAGAATAACTATCCATCTGAAATATATCTCTCTACATCTAGAAAACTTAGCTAACATGACTATAAGCTTGATTAGTATAGATGACTATCTATTAACCTTTATTTCTTAATTATACATTATATTTTTAAATAAGCTGCACAAACACAATACCTTAATCAAGAGCAGAAATATTCATATAACAAAATTGATCTTAAATATGTATCAGTATACCAAGATCCACACCAATGCAAAATATTCATCTCTATAGCATATTCCCCTTTAAATGTAAACAAACATTTATGAACAATCATTTTGGGAATTTCGACATAGTTTTCTCCAAACTGTTTCATGCCATTTGTTAGGGGTTCAGGGAGACCTTACAGGAGGCCATGGTTCATCAAAGGACATTAGTCTGGAAGGAATCTGTAGGTTCTTATCCTTGGTGGAAACAAAAGCAGAACCTCTTTTCCAATGCAGCATATTCTTATACCCAAATTTTTAAGTCAAGATAGTTTTAAAATATGTATGTTCATTCAAGTTAGCATGCCATACAATGAAATGTCTCTTTGTTCTTAGCTCATTCACAGTCAAAAAATTCAAAGAAAACACAATAGTATATATCAATAGTATATATAATCCAGATTCTCTGTGTATATTCTATCTTTAAGTGGCTTATTTTTCTTACTCTATTACTCTTTTTCTACAAATTTAATATTTATTTTACTATTTTTACCCCCTGAACCTATGGCTGTCTGTATATTATAACTGTCAGTACTCTTCTTCTCTCTGTCAAGCCAGTGTGCATTTATCTAACACTGTGACCCATTTAGATGTCTTTTCCATCTGGATCTGTGTTTATTGAATATCTGTAATCCTTTTTTGGCCAGGACTGCTTCTTAAAATACTAAGTGGCATGACTAAGACTAAGGCTGTTTTGCCTTTTGACTCTGTCCAGTACAACATGTTGGAGGTCCATTCACTGCCTCTGAGACTGCTGGGTGGGAGCTGTCCTCACCACCTCAACTCTGGTAACCAGTTGACCCATGCTGCCACCAAGTAACCTGAAGCATGCTGCCCACTAACCCTTCAAATGCTTGGCCTCCTGCAAGAGTCAAAGTTCATGCTGCCCAAATCAGGAAGCTGCTGTTTCTTATGCTGAGTCAGTAAGTCTTTTCTTAAAGGAGCCACAGCACTCTGCCAGCAAACAGAGTCTATCTGAGAAAAATGCAGGTACTAAGAAGCCATGCTTAACTCTGTTCTTTTATGTTTAGAATTTCTTTTTAAGTTTTCTCAGTTTTTGTGTGGACATTGTTACCTCACGTTGGCACTACTGGATCACCTAGATGATCCATTTTTATTGGTGTCTTGAACCCTTGTTCTTAAAGTACTTAAAATACATAAAGGTGACATCCATATCAGTATTAAAACAAGTATAGATGGTGTGTTGTACACAAGTCAGCCAAAGATGCTTTTTTGCTTTATATTTGAGCAGGTAAAATATGTATTACTTGTTTTGTAGTTTTTTCTAGGTTTATTTCTTTACGGCTGTAGCCAGGATATCAGGGGGTCTTCCTTGATCAAACCTGATCATCTTTAATCTTGAACAAATCTACAAAATCCACAAATCTCACTTCCTGTGGAAATAAAAGCATAACTTCTTCCCCAAAGTAACATATCTTTTGACTTACATTTTGAAGTCAAGACATATTTTAAATTATATATACGTTGGTTTAATCCAGCAGTTTTCATAATTTGGTGTGTCTTAGCAGTTGTCATTCCTTCATTAGCAATCAGAAAAATCTAAAGACAGCACAATACCATACAGAATCCAGACTCTGTATTTTCTGTCTTTAAGTGGTATCAGGGACCGTGGCCCCAACATAGAAACTATTTCTCCCTCAACTGGACTGGTATGGAGGAACGAGAAATAATAAGACACAGTTCACACAGCCATATTGGAAGGGCATCTCAGGCTTCATCCATTCCTCATGATCTACCCACGTTTATTATTTAAACACCTTTTATCCCCTGGTAAACCAAGGTGGATACTCATTAATATTCTCTTCCCAGGAGACCACAGGATTACCGAAAACACCTGTACCTTAAGTCACTAGCTTTGGAATCAACACCTCTCCACAGGCAATCTACATTTTAAAAAAAGAGAAGGAGTCTTTGTTAGGTGGCTAGCTTGTTTGGCAGGATTGCAGCAGCCTTGGAAATTAAGCATGGCCAGAGAGCCTGGCTGTAAATATTTTGTATGAAATATGGGCCCACAATGTGGCTTCTTTTTTTTTTATTCTGTTACTTTTGCAAGGACTTTATTATTTTAAAACTATATTTTTAACCTAAAACTGTATATACTTTTTCTCTTCTTTCTCCCAAACCTATCATGTTTATTTATTTTTAAACACACTGTAGCCCATTTAGAGATTCCTTTTTGTTGTTGTTCTGAATCTGACTTTACTACTTATCTGTAATCTTTTTCTGAACCTATGAGCCTTTATACCGGTAAGAGGCATGGCTAGGACCTCTGTTCTGGTTGCTGGCTCTGACCTGCTTGCTTCTCTGAGAGCTGAGCTTCATCACAGAGGTTCCTATAAGAGCCACATTTACTACCCCAACTCTTGGGAAATGTTGGTTCCCATGCAGCCGCCAAGTAGTGTGTCACCACTGCTCATCAACATTATTTAAGCGTTTGGTAGCAGTCTTCTTAAAATAGCCACCTGATTTTTGCAGCTAGCACTGAGCCAAGAAGCTGTCTCTTAAAAGAGCTGCACCTCTGCATGCTGCTAGCAAACAGCGCCTACCTTGGTAACACCAAGAAACTGAGTTTGACTCCATTTTTGTGTTTTTAGATTCCTATTTGAAGTTTTGTCAGGTCTTACGTGGAAATTCCTGCCTCGTGTCAGAATACCATTTGTTGGTGGAAGTTTCTGTTGCCCAAGCTGCTCCCAAGTAACTACTCAGAGCCTTAATATTAATTATAAATGCTCAGGCTTGATACTAGCTAACTCTTACATTTAAATTAACCCATATTTCTCATCTATGCTTGCCCTGTGGCTTGGTACCTTTTTTCATTACAGCATGCTCATCTTGCTTCTCTGTGTGTGTGTGTCTGCCTGCGACTGCTCTCTCCAGCCTTCTTCCGCCCAGCATTCTCAGTTCAGCTCTCACGCCTAACCTTATCCTGTCCAGCTATTGGCCAGTCTGCTTCTTTATTAAGCCAATCACTGAGGCACATACTCACACAGTGTAAAGGAATCTTTCACAACATGGCTTAGTTTTAAAAGTTTTATTTTTTAGAGGTCCCTGAATCTAGAAATTAATATCATTTGAGTTTTTGTTTAAGCTTTTTTTGTTATTGTATCAGATAAAATCCTCTTTTAAAAGGTCAATAAAGTAAATCAGTGCACACAGTGGCAAAGGGATAACTTTGTCTTTGACTGCGTTTATGTGTTTGGTGGTTCATGACTGAGACACTTAACATATTTGATGTGTCTAGAAAAGTGATGGTGCCTGCTTCCCAGGATGTGCTGTTTCCGTGTTTCTTTTGTCCTCGTATAGGAAACTGGGACAGAAGCTTCTCATGCTGTCAAGCCTAACAAATACGACATATGACTCTAGTCACAATTCATCTCGTTTCTCCAGGGGGTGATTTCCTGTCCTTTCTGAGGAAGAGGAAGGATGAACTGAAGCTCAAGCAGCTAGTGAGGTTTTCCTTGGATGTCGCTGCTGGCATGTTGTATCTCGAGAGCAAAAACTGTATACACAGGTAAGAGTTGTTAGAGACAGTTTCACTGTTGTTACTACAGTCCTGCAAAACTAACACATTTTCTATAATACTACAGTCAAAAGTCTGTGTGTTGCTTTTTATATTTTGTGTGAAAGCCTTCTTTGACAGTTTTCCAGAAATACTTGATTCATCCCTTACTAGAAAGAAGTACTTAATTAGAAAATGGTTTAACTTTGTAATTAGCGTTTGCTTTATTGTAATCGTGAATAACCTGGCGTGGCCTGCACTGAAGTTAGAAGATGGCTTTGTGTGTTGCTGTCATTTTCTAAAATCATGGAACAGCATAATACTGTAAGAATAATTCTTTCTTTCCTATTGCTGTTTTCTTGTTCTTATTTGTTTGTGACAGCCCAAATCTGCGAAACCCTACTCTCCGATATGGGTGCACGCCTCCCGTATCGGACCGTGAGTCTGGATCAGTATCCTAGGAGTTAAACAGACACACACACAGAGACCAGGATCATTTGCCCAAAGGGTAAATGTCGACTTTATTCAGCACATGTCGGGTTTATATACTTGGGGGCAAAAGGACGAGATTCCCCCTCCCACCTGGGAGTGAGATCATAGTGTTGACCGCTTGGCAGAGCAGCCAAGCAGGGGGTATCGAGCTGGTGGCAGTGTCAGATGGGGCAGGCACTGCTGCAGGAACCTTTGCTTGTAGGTGGAATTACCATATCAAAAAAGGACAAAACTCTCTATGCTAATTCCCCTAGCCGGTGGAGCGAGCAGAGGAGAAGACAGGAAGCTAGACTGGTAGGAGATACAGCCCTGCATAGCGCCTCGAAGAGCCAGGAAAAGCCTGGGTATCAACATGACAGGGTCTCTGTAACCCCAGCTGTCCACGACTTTACTGTGTAGACCAGGCTGGCCTCAAACTCATAGAGAACCACCTGCTTCTGCCTCCTGAGTGCTAGAATTAAAGGGGCGAGCCACCACATCCGACCATAACAATAATTCTTAACTGTGAAGTTGGCCAAGGGTAAAATATTTATAATGATTATTTCAAAGGAAATTTTTGAAAACTTATCTCTGAATTTTGTGTAGTAGCCTGGTCCTCCTACTTTACTGATTATGGTTATATTTTATTTTTTAAAGTTTTTTAAAATTTTATTTTACATGTAAGAAGAGGGTGTCCAGTCCCCTGGGGCTGAATTACAAGTGTTTGTGAGCCACCATGTGTGCTGGGAACTCTATAAAAGCAGTAAAGCTCTTGACCCCTGAGCCACCTCTGCTGCCCCTAGATTTTGGTTTTAATTGTTTGTCGCCGAGAGTGAATGTAGCGCAGCTTGAGAGCTGTTGAAGAATTTGTATCACATTTCAGATGTGGTTAAATGGGCAGGAGGAAAATGATGTAGAGAGCTGGTGTGTGCAGGTTTTAGCTGCAGGGAGCAGTGTGCCACACTGTGTAAGCTAGCGGAGTCCGCTGTCACACCTAGGTGCTGTAGCCCTTACTTGCTGGTTTCTTTACTGCACTGCACTTTTGACTGAGGTCTCTCATGATACGGCTTTTGACTTGGTGCCGTGTTACAAGTATTGATTCCACATTGTGGGGAGGTTGTAAAATACAGAATTATAGCAAACTCACCTCTGCAGCACAATATTGTTCAACGATTGCATTTACTCTTTAAATATGTCAGGGTGGATGGTATTTTCCTAGTAACTAAGATGACTGTGACTAAACCATACCTCTTTACTTCTGCCTAACTTTGTGTAAATATGTACCAAGTCACACTAGAAATTTGTAAACCCTAACAAACATTTAAGTTTAGACAAGCTGGAGATGAATCAAGCTGTAAGTCTAAAATCATAAAAGGTCTTGTTCTTATAGTTTGAGAAAATTTGCAATTTTTTCTGAGATTTTAAGGTATTTTATGTATCAAATGTTTCTTCACATTCTCTACAGTAACCGCACTTAGGGTTTTCTCTCTTAGGCGTCTATGGCTGTAAGACCTAAGTAATATACATTATTATATTATTTTAAAATTTGTGAACCATCTGTAATATGCTGTGTCCTCCTTCTCCCACCATAAATCCTGGGAGTTAAACCTAGGCCTCCCATGTGCTAGACCAGTGCTCTTCCCCTGAGTTAAATCCCAAACCTCTTTCTGCTGTTTATTTTGAGACAGGGTCTGACTGTTTTTCCAGGGTATCCTTAATTAAACATGTTATTCAAGCAGGCCATAAACTTATAATCTCCCAGCCCTATAATGATCTTTAATTTTTGGTATGCTGTATTTGGGGGAACCATTGCTTTAATTTCATATTATTTATAGTGATGACTTACTCTGAAAGAGCATGGCTTGTTAATCATCATAGCAAAAACATTCTAGACTGCAGATGGCAATGGCATTTAATTTTGTTCATCTGTCTAAATCATATCATTATATGTTGTAATATTATTTTTCATTTTCCTTTTTAATATGTTTCTTATTTTTGCATGTTTTTGAACACCATTCTCTGCATGACTAGTCATAGCAGTGGTGTGTGTTTGCTAGCTGATAAGATTTCACTCTCAAGCATCTTGAACAGTATCACTGAGAGCCGGAGTAATAAATAGGTCTCAGAGTTAAATCCAAACTTCAGTGATTCCTATTGGCTCTCTGTGGTATGTGTTAAGAAGAAATCCAGGATCTGCTACAAAGATTTGGTAATTGATTAGCCATGTATGATAATCATTGCCATAAAAGCCCCAATTTTGTCATTCTTGGCATTCAGTCACCTTCTGTCTTTATTCTCATAAATACATTTCTAATGCTTAGTCTTTGACATGATTTTCACTAGCCATAATGTAGTAACAGTGTATTACTTTCTGTGACCACAGCCATTGAATTCTTCTAACATATCTCTTAGTTTCCTTACTTATCATGAGAACTAGATGAATTTCATATCCATAGCAGATGGTTTTGGTTCCTTCTTAAACTAAGATCTATTCCTTTTTCTTTTCATTTTAATACAGCAATATATGGCATTGTATTGAGAGAATAAATCATTCTTTGTGTTGCATTTTTCATAGTCATGAGTTTGTTCTTGTGCGCCAGGCTGAGGAGCTATTTCTCTGGGAGAAGTATTAGTTACAGTGGAATCAACTTGCTTTATATTTAATAATGCAGTCAGTCCATATTATCAAAGATATACCCAAAATATGTTGTACTTACTTCAATAAAAGATTTTTTACCATAGTAATAATTTCTAATCGGGGTATTTTAAAAATTAATTTAAACAATATAAACCATAATGAAAATTATTTTCACTATTTAGATAATGAGTAAATCCCTGAGCCTCATTTTTAACATCCTTAAAATTGGTAAAATAAATACATATTGAAGATTGTAAAATCCAGGCAACAATTTATAATATGCTTCAAATTGTATGACTTATAAATGTTTACCTATTCACTGATTCATTGACTAAGTTAGAACTCAGAACGTGAATGTATTTCTAATTGTCTCTCTGCCAAATATTTCTACTAAACATTTGTGCGACACATTTTCTTCCTTCCCTTTTTCTCCCCTCCCTCTCTCCCTTCTTCCTCTCTCCCTTTCTTCTCTCTTTGTCTCTCTCTCTTTCTCTCTCTCTCTCTTTCTTTTTGCTATAAAAAAAGACAAAATGATATTTCATGAAGGAAAAGTAAGTGTGTAAATCCAGTGAAGAAAGTAAGAGAGCATTTAGACATGGCCTGCCTTGGGAATTTGTTTGCCTTGGTTTCCATGGACTTTTGCAACAGTTCTCTTAATAGTCTGTTTTTAGCTGTAGCAGTTTGTGCTCATAGATAGGGACTTGAACAGGTTTGTTAGGGCCTGATTTTAATCAACTCAACTTTCTTTATAATAACTTCATAAGCCAGTGTGAAATGTTTTTCTGCTGTATCTGAAAGACACTGAGGAACTGTGCTGTGGCATTTTCCATACTGTGCTATCAGATCATTGTTCGTGTCATAAAGGGTATTAGCCATGACAAATCCAGAAGTGACGTTATTAAAGACATAATTGATGTAAGCAGCAATGGACTGTCTGGTTTTATTTCTGAAGGATCTCACTGTAAGATTTTATTTTGATTTATTCCTAAAAGTTTGTTGAACGTTGCCTTTCTTGGATATTTATGAACATTTAAAAAGTGTAAACCTCTATTGTTACATGCTTTAGTTAAAAATCATATCTACACAGAGGTATGAGAATATTGCTTAATTCTATTTCATCATCATCAATAACAAAAAAGGTGATTAAAAAATGATTGTAAGCCTTTTTTTATTTCCTTTTTTTTTGGTTTTTTGAGGCAAGGTTTTTGTCATGAAGTAACAGCTCTATAAATTAGTCTGACAGGCCATGCTTAGGATCCTAAAGGGTTTCTCACACCCTTTGTCTCCAGTACAGTTGTCTTCCTGCTCTGGAATCCTGAAATCTAAAATGCTCCAAATCAGGACAACTTTGAGCACCATTATAATGACACAGTGGGAAAATCCCACATTTTGAAACTTTGTTTTATGTATTTATAAAATTATTATCATGCAATATATATTAAGGTATATATTAAATATAAAATATATTGCATTTAGATTTAGATCCTATCCCCCAAGATACTCCATTATGTATATTCAAATGCTAAAATTATGAAATCTAAAATACCTTATCCAATCTTCAATAAGGAAGATGCACTATGTTCTTCACAGATGGCGTCACTTAACCTGTGCAATGGTGCAAGGGGACAGTTGTGGTCCCTGACTCCAGAGGGTGTAACAAGAAAATGATGACACAAAGAGAAAATCAACTTTGTGATGATATGAACAAGGTTCTTTGAAAGGGTTATGAAGAATGTATACTATGACCTGTTGTTGTTCGTGTGGGGACCGTGTGGTATTGGGATAACCGGGAAGCTCTGCAGAGCCTCCCACCTCACTGAGGTGTGATGATCTATTGCTAGATAGGAGGGAGGATAGTCTGCCTGAAGAAGAGTTAGGAGACGGGAGAGATGACTCAGTGGTT